ATAATAATAATAATAATAATAATAATAATAATAATAATAATAATTATTTTTACAAAAACAATAGGCCTTCGCAGCGCTTAGCTGCTCGGGCCTAAAAAACAACAAAAACAATGGACGTGAGAAGATAATGGTTGGTGAACTGACCAAGTTGAACTTAAAAAACAAACAAACTACAATATCTTTTAGCAACTAGAGTGGCAGAACACATTGCAAATACTGCATCGGCACAGTGTTTAATTTGTAAAATCTCAGTGGATGGCTTGAAAATTTACAAGCCAATAAAATATTCTGCATCTTTGAATATGCCCGTAGAAACCCAAACATGAGCCAAAAAGTGTTGAAAATGCCAAAGTCAAAGTCAGAAGCACCGTAACAGCAGATGAGAAAGAGAGGAGTCAGAAAAATGTAGATTTATCACAAATGATCACATTGTCATGTGATTTATAAATTCAAGCCCTGATATCTAGCAAAGTAAAACTTTAGGAGATATTACTAATGAGAAAAGTAAATTACTTCAATTCAAAAGGGGGTGATGTAAACTTACAGCTTGTTACTGTGCACCTTTTTGGGTGTTATTTCTTAACAATAAATAATTTTCTTAATTTGATTGTCAACTTGATTGACCCTAAATTAGAAATCCTATTTTTCTCCCTATGCAGTAAATGCACCATATTTAGCGCTAACAGGTCCTGTGAACAACAATACTATGCAGTATAGAAAGAAGTACTAAGTGAAGTTATTTTGAGTATAAGCAGGATGTTCAAACATGATGCCTGAGGAAGCACAGGGACGGTTTTTCTATTTGGTTTCGGCTGCTGGGCATACTAACAACACTGTAATCATTCTGTCTGTTCTAAAATATTATAGAAGCCTAAGTTTTTTTGTTTCTTTTCTCTTTTCATGTGTACTCCATCACACTGTGTAACATTGCCTTGCCTCTGGTTCTTTCATAAATAATCCATTATAGGACATGGCCAAAAGGCTTGAAATGTATATATACTTTTAACAGACCAATTTCTAGACTTGAAAATTGTGGGAGTTTTACAGTTATAAAGGAATTTATAAAAAAAAAAAGGAAAGGTTGCTAAAATTAGGCAAATAGCTGTAAGTGGTATCAGTTGGGTACTACTTAAATACTTGCAGAACCTTTTGGGCGTCACAAGATTTTTGGATTTTTGATATTTTGCTATTTCCCACATGAGTAAGGCAGGAAACCAACTTCATTCCAGACAGGCTATGTATAACTGTCTCTATGCAAGAGCAGTGAGTCAGAAAAGGTTGGAATTCATGACGACAATGGTATTTTCTATAGCGATTCATTCTAAAGTGAATTATAGGTGTGATTTTAGAAGGAATGTTGTCTGAGTGATGCTGTAGTCATCCTTACCTTCCTCCTGATGTCTGTGAAGCGGGAAAAGAGTAACGACAGGTAGAAGGACAGCTCCAGTATGTAGTAATAATGGACGTCCACAGTCAGAGGCTGCATACGTATAAGGAGATCGTCTCAGAACATTTTAAACAGAAGGAGATGCCTTTTTGTAAAGTTGTTGGAAGGTTTTTCTTAACTTCTACCTGGTAAGGGTAGTTGTACCAGCACTCTTTAGTGTTCCACAACCATGGAGTCTGAAGGAGAGAATCAAATCAAAAAGTTTGAAATGTCCCTATTACTAGAGGTAAGAGTGGCTGTAATCCTGGATTTAAAAATAAAAAAAAACCTACAGTGAATGCATGTTCTGGTGGGAAAAGAAGGTGAACTAAAGAGCCATTAGAGGCTACACTTAAATTCTGAGTAAATGTGTTACGAGCAAACTGTGACCCGTCACTGCGCTTGAGTTTAGTTCTCCTGCACTGCTTTCCAGACCTGCTCTATTAATAAATCCCACAGAGGCTGGAGGCTGGCGCCTGCAGCACCAACTGCTGGGGAGTGAGCTATTTTTCACAAAGTGCTTCGTCATGCAACTTGTGTCTCAGAGACTTTTCTTTTTTCTTCCAACTCTATCTCAGCTCCTGCCGTGATTGCTATTATGTATGCACTTTCATGAATATATGCATGAAATATGTGAAACCTCCTGAGCTCTATTTTTCAGCGATAATCAGTCAGCTGACTCATTCTCAGATTTATCTCCGGTGGCTTTTTGTTCTTAGCGTTCAGCAGAATCAGTACCTGGCAGATTTTTAACTAGGAGTACTGGGAGTACTGGGAGGCTCTGATAAACATTGTTGCAGCTTTATAAAGGTGAGAGTGCGCCTATTTAAAGAAGATGCTTTGGCACAACAAATGCAACAAGAAAGAATAAGGAATTGTCAGCCCCGACACGAAACATAAAGAACTTTTAAAAAGCTAAAGTTTGTAGCAAAAATCAACATTTTAAATGACCAAATGTGAGTAATAATGCTTTTAAAATATTTAATGCAGTCAGAGAAGGAGACCTGGCAACAGAACGTTACTGTTAGAATAATTTATTATCGTCGCTATTTTACTGAACAAAATGAAAATTGTAAGAAAAGTGTAACTTTTGCACAACACCGTTTAATAGCCATTATGCATTATTGAGGACATTTTTAGAAGCCTGTTACACTTAAAAATTCAGATACAAAGACTGTTTGTATCAATAATTGTCATTTAAAAGTCACAATCTATTTACTTATTACAGCTGGAAGCTGTTTGGGGCAGGTTTTACCAGACTTGCACAGGCAGCTTTTGCAAAATATCTCAAACTTAGTCAGATTGGATGTAGAAGCTCTGTAAATAGTATCTTCTAATTCATGTTTATCCACAGATTCTCAATTTGACTTTGCTGCAACTGGGTCACTCTAAAGCATACATAATCTTTGATCTAAACCAGTCTTTTGTAGCTGTAGCTGTATGCTTATTGTTGTTGTCCTGCAGGAAGATTAATCTCTAACATTTTTAGTCTGAGGTCTTCTGGAGCCTCTTAACAGATTTTCTAACGTAACTGTTCTGTGTTTGGCTCCATCCATTTTTCCATCAAGTCACGCCAGCGTCCATGTCCCTGCTGAGGTAAAATTTTCCCACAGCAAGGTGCTGTATGCTGAATGTCCTTAATAGGTTTGCAAATGTAGCATATTCTTTCCGTTTGTGCATAACTGGATTAAGTAGGGCTCTGTCAGATGCTTGAAGCTTATGATATTGTTTTATAACCTAACCCTGCGTTATACTTTCCCCTGACCTGTCTGCTGAAGTCTTTGGTCTTCATGGTTCTGCTTGTTCACTAATGTTCTCTAACAAAACTCCGAGGGCCTTAAAAACATCTGCATATATTGAGATTAAATGACATTGGACTTTAAGGGTTGATCCCCAAAATTACAAAAAAAAAAAAAGTTCAAGGGGTGGGATTACTTTCGCAAGGCACTGTATGTACTTCTAGCTGTGACAATTACAATATGAGACTGGGGGTATGAAAAAGCTTACCTTTTTAAGAAAACGCACTCCATAGGTGAAAATATATAGATAGAATGTAAATCTCCACCTGGAGTAAATAAGAAGAAAACATATTCAGAGTTAGACATTTTTTTCTAACAGTTTGGCCAGTAAATTGCAGCTACATTATGATTAGACTGCCAAGGCCATCGTGACCTTGACACTACAATAATTGTAAAAAGTTCTTTTGAGCCTTTGAATGTTTACCTGCAAATCCATGTTAGTTGCAGGTGAAATATTTCACTTCTCTTAGCTTCTTTTTTTTATTAGAAATTTACATCTTTCTGTTGAGAAAACTATGTAGAATCGAAAAGATGGTTAATTTTCACAAGTAAAGACCAAAAATATAGCAATATTAAGATTTCAAGGGATCTGATGCCACAAGTTGTGCTGTACAACACTAATTTATTTCTATCACGAGGTAATTGTCCTGCGCAGACAATCGGTGGCGTGTTCCTCTTAGGTCTGCTTCCAGCCTTCCCCGCTCTGTGCTTTAAATAATCCTGCATATACTTTAGTTTCTGCACAATGATGTGATTAGGAGTTCTGCCTCTGAGGTTTACAAAGAAGATATTGCTGGAGCTGACACGGCTGTGATCAAAGACTTGCTGACAAGGAAGACGTGCCTACTTTATGAAACCGGTTCTTAACAGTCAGCAAGGGAGAATGAGAATTTAAAACTATCAAACAAGGAAAGGCAAATCTTCAGCTAAGACCATGCAGGCTACATTCAAATCAATCTAGCTCAGTTGAAAAAATATTTTATTAATCCCGCTGGGAAACGAGGACACAGGATTTTCTGCCAAAAAAATAAAATAAAATAAATAAATAGGTGGATGAGAGAGTAGAAACATAGCTTTCCTTTTTGTTTTTTCAAACAAAGATGCTCCAGCTGACTTTATTTAGACCTGAAACCCTCAATAACTCAATGGATAGGACCATGAATCTATATTATCACCACAACGTGTCCATATCAGCAAAATCTAGTCCTTTTCTGTGGTTGTTTGAAACGTTCAGTTGTGAGCCTTTAACAAATAGCAGAAAAATAATCACAACATGCAGCTTATGGGAAAACATCATTAGTTGCTTGATGTGCATGATCAAAAGTATTGTAAAAGCAAATTAAGTGGACGCGCGTACCTGGCACATAGTAAAAGACTGTTGCATGGCAACTGGTTGATCGAGCCTGCAAGAGTCTTTCTCCTGCAAGAGTCTTTCTCAAAGTGTTGCTGAAATGCTGCCATGCACAAAAAAAATATCCCAATGACTCACAACAGCATCCTTTGAATAGAGTTTCTGAAGTCAAACACAGATGTTTTTTTTTTTCTTTTTGTAGAAATTGCTGACACTTTTTCAGACAGCACAACCTGTTGAGATAAATGAGGATTTGTCATTTAATTATCAGCAACTTCTCATTCGCACCCGACAGAGGAATGCTTGTTAAGTGTAAACAGCGACAATTTTGTGCTAAGATGGTACATATGATGGTACTATGGTACAAATAACTGACAAAATATTGTTTAAATAGTGTTTTAATAACAGAAAATAAACAAAGCTATCTGAAATGCTATGAGACAAATACTGTCCCTTCAAAATAACCACATATCCAAACAAAAAAAATTGTTCCTGATAGTAGACTGAACTGTTTTAGCTCTTTTAACTGAGCATAGCAACTTAATGAGGTTATAGTGAGGGATAAAGGGGCAAAGACAATTACACATTTATTCTGCTTAATGACAGGAACGAAATAATAAAAGTTGATGCTGCTTCGTTTACTTTACCTTCTCCACGTAGGATTTAAAAGTATTGATTGGCACTTAATGGTTTGTTTTCACGACTCAGCTTTTTATCTTTTGTTTAATTTATTAGGGAATTGATTTGCACAAGTAAAAAAAAAATGGTAATGGCCTTTTATTCTAACCAGCAGACAGTTTATTTGGTTTCAAACTATTTCAAAGAATCTATAAGTCTTGAAAAACGTACTACAGTTTTGACCAATCAATATCTTATAGTTGTTTTTCTGTATATATATTTTTTTTGTCTCAACTGAAAGAGGTCTAGAAGAAAAAACAAGGAAACTTCAATTGCTCCTTAATTGTACTTTCTTAAGTAGAAACAGTTTTGGAGAAGTCAAACTGTGTTTTAAAGAATTTCTGTTTAGTGCCGAATTATCCATTTCCAATTTGGCCAGTCTAAGGATTTTACATTTTCAAAAAAAAAAAAAAAGATATTATTACGGTATTTTTTTTATTATTTCATCCTAGATGTCAAGAGCTATTGAGTGGTTCTTTAAGTTTACCCAGTCAGAAATAATGATTTTAGATATGAACTTTTTTTATTTTATTTTTGTTTACATTGTTTACAACACGGGGGCGCCAAATCCCCCTTAACTAGATATTTAAATATGCAACAGAAAACACACAACTATCGGAAATGTATTGATTTTCTTATTATGCTTGAGACGCCCCTTGACAGCCTGTCACCCTGACCAGTTTGCCCATACCAAACCCCCCCCACTGCCTATATTGATTAAACCCCAAGTTGAGGTGATGACATTTCTTTCCTCCTTGTAAAAGCAAAGATGCTAGAGACAGAAAAAGAGAAGTTCAGCAGCTGGAGCCAGTGAGGACTCCCAGCCTACTCTCATCTTGTTGTAATAAAAAAAAAAAAAATAAAAAAATAAAAAAACGCTGAAGAGAAGATGAACTGTAAAACCTCACTGTAAAAACTTCACTTTCATCATCTAATTTTATTTATTTTGATCCAGTTGAATTTTTCATTCTAGGAGTCATCCCACTGTAGGTTTCTTTCTAAAAATAGAAGCGTGATCTTAGTTACTTTTTTTTGCTGTATATTCGGGGTAAGAAAAGACAAAAGCTTCCAAACAAAAGCTCTATGCAATCATCATTATTTCTCAGTAAACATGCTTTCTACACACTGTGTGTTTGCATAATGAAAAGAATACAAAACAGATCAGTGGTCCACACAATGGAGAGACAAAGAATCCTATCAGTCTTGGACAGCTGGGCACGAGAGTTTAATTACAGCACAATTGCTGCAGAAGGGACTGAAGCCAGCCTCGTTTGGAGACCTGCAACAACCGAGGCAGACGACCTGGACAAACTATCGCAAAGCCCAGAGGTCCGCAACGCTAATTAAGCTGCAGATAACAGCGTCCGTGCAGTTGTTTCTTTAGCCGCCTGAAAGCGTGGTTGAAAAGCTGAGAGGGGCAAAATTCCAGTTTCTTCTTGAGCAAGAAAACGCATGTTTTTGTCTTCTGAGAGTCCTCTGTGATGTTGTAATACGAGTCTAGTGGTCTAATCAGTCAAATGTGTTCTCCTGAGAGAACAGCAGCCTCAGGCAGATCAGGGGATGCGAGGCTCCCCGTGTCTCAGACTGTCAGATTTGGTCCGATGGTGTCAGACATGACTCGGCTCTGACAACAAAACTGGCTCTTTGGCCTTTAACATCACACTGCTAAGTAACTACAATCTCCCTGATGCCAAACGCATTACTGCAGATTAGCCGGCTCTCTGTTCGCCGTCTTGAGTGGGTTTCTTATCAAATGGCTTTAACTATTAACCCACAGCATGAAAGCGGTTAACTGGAACTGAAGCATCATTTGATTCTCACTTAAAAGGCCAAAGTAGCATTTCGACTTCTGTTTGCCAAAAGGAAAAAAAAAAAAAAGTAGCACTTTATTTGAAGGGGGTTGAATAAGACTGTCATGACACTGTCATAAACATGACATAACACGTCATGAACATGAATAAGCCTTCATGAATATTTATGACTGTTGTCATAAAGTGTTATTTGGTAAATTATGACACTTTTAATACAAAGTTGACATTATTCAAAATGTCTTTGTTATGACAACTTGACATTAACCAATAAATCATTACTGTTTAAACTTTACCTTTAATAACATAAAGTTACCTAATTTTTAAAGTGCAATCAGTAATTATTTTATAACAAATTTATATCAGTAATGATTTCTTGGTTAATGTCAAGTTGTCTTAACAAAGACATTTTGAATCATGTCAACTTTGTATTAAAAGTGTCATAATTTACCGAATGACGCTTTATGACAACAGTCATAAATATTCATGAAGGCTTATTCATGTTTATGACAGGTGTTTATGACAGTGTCATGTCAGTCTTATTCAACCCCCTTCAAATAAAGTGTTACCAAAAAAAAAAAAAAGAAAGAGATTATTAGATATTCACTGGATATGTTCTGAAGAGCAATCACATAAACCTAAAGATAATTACACAGGAAAAAAATTCAATTGCATTTTTAGTTCTAATATTTTTAAACACTTTCCAGTTTTTCAGTGCCTTTGTTTATTTTTCTCATTATGGTGCTAGTGGCAAAGTGCAAAGTAGAATTACAGTTTTCTATTTACAAAGGTTGTGGATGCATCCCTTGAGTTACGTTAATGATTTCAGTAGTTGTATAGAGTTTTCTGTTTGCTTATTCTGTGTTATGGCATAGCTGTTAGCACCGTTAACTTGCAGCATAAATGTCCTGGATTCAAATCCCAATCAGGAACTTTCTACGTGGTTTCCATGTTCTTTCCATGCATACTAGGGTTCAGTTTATGTTGAAGTGTAATCTATTTTGGGTTATTTGGCTGCTCTAAGCTGCCCACAGGTTTCAATGTGTGTGTGTGCATACGTGGTTGTCTTTCCTTTGTGACAACCAGTCTATCAATGGCCTTTTGGTAGAACGAAGGCCAGTTCATTGAGCACTGGAGATAGGCACCAACTGACCTCTGACCCTATACTGAATAAACCTCATGGAGTATGGATGGAAAACAAGGTTTTACTTCTTTCTGAATTGCTGCATTGTCTTGTTTTGAGGGTGATGTAATGGTACCAAGTCAGAGCATAGGCTCCAGGTCAGTTTCACCCTTTTACCAACTCATTCCTCCACGATGACGTTTCACCCCATTTTACTTCGATTATCTACCAGCAAACAATCCATTTCTTAGTCATGGACTAAACTCACTGCATGCAATATTTATTTCCGTTAATAGTAAATGATTTTAGGGTATTATGAGAATTCAATAAATCAATAAATACATACAAATTCCTTATGAAGGATTGTGGTTCTGATCATGCCAGTCAACTCATGAAATGTGACAAATGAACCAGCAATTAGTCCCATGACTAAATTTTCCTGCAGAAAAGCAATTTAAATCCTTGACAGTCAAATCAGGCGTGAAAGGGAGAAACTTCTATTTTTACACCTGAAAAATAAAAACTGTACCCAACATTCTTGGATGTTGCCTCATATCGTACTTTGCAGACAAAACAATGTAGACTTCAGTCTAAAATTTCCAAAACTCAAACTGACATTTTAAGCGCTCTACATTACAACGTCTAATTTGGCCAAGTGATTCGTTTTTTCTTGCTTCCTTTCAGGCAGACACAAAACTGAGCCCTACCTCCACAAGGCATGAGAGGGAACTTTCAGTAAGCATGAAAACCTGCTCTGATAAGGTTATCTATCGTCCCTGCTTTTACTACTGTCACTGCCTTTCTTATTGATGCATGGCAAAGCGGCACAGCCTATTCAAATCAGCCCTCACTTATACATCAGCTTTGTCAAGGAGCCAAAGCGAAGCACTGATGCAGCAATCAACATTAGGCAGATACACAGGTCACTGTGATAAGATTTCCTTGGCAGGTTACAAATCTGTCATTTGTTTTTTAGTCAAACTTGGGTGTTGTCCAATGCAAGATAGATGACTTGTGGCTAATTTAGGAGTGATAGGTCTTACATGCTTTCACAGAATCTGGCGAGGGTGCTCGGCTTCTCCTGGTTGCGCCGTTGCCGAAACCAGCGCTGGATGGTGCGCACATCCCAGTCGAGCTGCTTGGACAGGCCCTCCAACCTCTTCTCATCGGGATGCTAGCAAAAAAAAAAAAAAAAAAAAATTAAAGCACCCCATGTGTCGGGTTAATATTTTTGATGCAGAACAAATTTATTAAACATATTACAATCAAACATAAAAGCACATATCCTCACCTTGGTTATAGCAGTGAAAACCTTCTCTAAGATAGCATTGGGCTGTGCCTTTTGTGGCCCGTTGGCCTGGATCTTCAGACCCATTGCACATGGCCTTGCAATAAACCTGCAAGAAAACACACATCATAAGAGTTCAAAAACAATGCTTCATGAACGAAAGAGCAACAAAGACTGAAGGTACTTTAAACCGTTTAATAGTCTTTTATCCAGAGGCTATTAATCCTATATAAACTGCAGCTTCATTTCGAGTGCTAGAGCCACCCACAGACAGAATGGTACTCTTGGCAGAAAGCCATAACTCCCACATTAAAATTTTCTGCTGTGTTTGATTCAAATATACAATATACCTATGTATTTGTTAAACTGAAACACAGAAATGAGGAAATGTGTTATCTTAGCTGTTATTTATTCTTTTCCAGAGTTTATTTCTCTGACAATTATCACTACAAAAATATCTAAATAGGTAAAAAAAAAATATATTTTTATGGTTGCTTATAAGTACAAGTGATAAAACTCTATCACAACTTTCCAACTCTACCTGACTGAAAACCTGCATCAAATCAAGAGTCAGAGAAATTAACCTGTCTCCACAATTTATTCACCCTATTTATTTTACTGTGGAAAGAGCTGAAATATGTATGATTTTGAAGAAAAATATGTCAAATATTCTAAAATAATTAAGAAAACAGTGGAAATGACTTCCAGTGCTACTAAATCAGCCGTGTTATTTTTTTATTTTATTTATATTTTTAACAGAGGTTATACTTTGCACAACACAAGGAGAGCACATTACACATTGACTGGACATGGGGATAAGCAACAGAAAACTTAATCTTGGTTCACTTGACAGAAAATATTTTTTGTTTTTAAAGTGCTAATACCCTGACAGCTGGGCTGTCAGCCATATACCCCATATCAAATATAAGACACCTTTTGATTATAACATACATAAGCATTTAGTAAACTTAAAAAAGAGAGGAAGTAATAAAGTAAGTAATTACTGCCTACATGAGGTTAAAATTGGGACCCATATGGGCCTTGATGCAGTGTTTAACTTAAAATAATTTTCTTAATACCCATTTGAACTTTAGCTGATTTAGTCTTATCTAATGACTGGTGGAGAAAGACGCCAGCCCCCTGTGACACTGCAAGGATAAGCAGGAATAAAAAAATGGATGGATGAATAGATAAATAGATGGATTTATGGATGCAACCCAATTGGGATGCATAGACATAGTAGTTTATGCGCTATGACTTACTACCCATTCGAATGGGGCAAATACACACATTTTAGCTGCCAATTAAAGGATGTAACAATATTATATGTCAAACAGTGTTAGTGATTCTGTGGTGGGTGTGAATAATGGGCTTAACTGGAAGAAGGGCACCTGGCAAAATTCTGCTTTGGGCCCCATGTAATCTTGGGTCGGCTCTGGGTTTAACTGAGATCTGTGAGGCCTAGGTGACTTTCTATGATTATAACTGCTGTGATCATCACAACATGAGCCATTCTGATTATTCTACAATAAAACTCAAACACAGGCAAAACTCATTTAAAGCACAACCCGATTGAAATAAGAAGAAAAAACACGTCAATAGTTAGGAGCATATTTCTTGTTTTGTGGAAAAACAGGTTTGGTGTGCAGGGACAGGTTAGGTCCGGTCAGTCGGCTCTGACAGAGGCATCAAAGGCAAACAACGCTGCAGGCCTGCAGAAGAAGGATGATGAACCGTGGTGATTTGTGAGCTAACCAGATAAGATGCCATTGTTTAGGGGAGGGGGAGGGGGGGAAGGGGGACAGACAGCGGACAGCGGCGCGACGTCTCATCGACACAACAAAAGCGCATCCCCATCACCACCTGCTTCATTCGCCCCGTCAGCTCAGAACCCACCTCTCAAAAACCAGCCGTATCATAAAGATGCAGAAAGCCAGAGGACAAGCCAGATAGAGGTCCTCGGCTTGCGGGAACGTCGCCTCATCTGTGTTTTTTAAGTCAGCCCAGGTCACATTATGGGGGAGCCAGAAGCGCTCGTTCCAGAACCACGCCAGAATCCCGGCCATCTCCCTGCAGCAGGACGCGATGGAGGAACGGAAAGCTCGCTGCGAGTCTCGGAGGTCTCTGTCGGGGGAGATCCGACTCGCCTGATGAAGAGATATCCGTGTGCGACCGCCGTCCGTCCGCTTCCCTTCAACTATCCCAGTGTAGGGAAGTAGACTCAATCAGCTCCTCAGCAACTGATTGGTGCGTTCAAATGTCATGTAATAGCCCTGTCAGTGCGCGTAATAAAAATGTAATACTACGGGTCTATCAATCTAAACCAATTGAAAAATAGAAAATGTCACAATGACACTCGGTATGAGTTATTGTGTAGATGACGCATACACATTACTTCTTTTATAATGCTCATTTGATGTGTAAGTCTACAACCTGCGATCACCTGTGTTCTGGGTCAAGAACTTAATGCAAAACATTCTCACAGTCAAACTCAACTGATTCTTCATCAAATTAAGCTAAATGCTGGATGAGCGACCACAAAATGCGGCAACATTGTACAAATACAAAGGGTAACTTGTCAAACTCTGACACCTTCTGACCAGTTTGAGGTAGTGCCGCGGATATGTGCCAATTTTTAAAATATTTTACATCTAGCTTTTCTGTTCAGCTCTTCCTGCTTGTTTTTTTTTGCTGTACTACTACTACTACTACTACTACTACTACTACTACTACTAATAATAATAATAATAATAATAATAATCTTTCAATCATTTTATAGCAGACTACAATGATTTCTGCTCAGTTAAAGTTTGTATTTTTTGTAATTTCCTAAAAGTCACACTAATGTGATAATGCATACTTTGGTATTGATCCAATTCTAAGTAAATACAGGGCAAGTATCACTTGATACTGATACCAATACCAATCCCTATACCAATACCAACATCAATATCTATACCTATACCTATGCTTATTTAACATCAAACTCATAATACTAATTTTGTGGAGTTATGTGCTGAGGAGTATATGTGATTGATAACATTATTGATTTATGTGCAACATTGGCACATAATAATCTGTGCCCATTAATTGGTCGCATTGATGGGTGAAGGAAACAAGCAGAAGAAGATCTAATTGAATTCTTTATTTTCAAGGCCGTGGTTATGGATAAATGTGTAAGTGCTTTTTTTTATTTGCTCATATTTTTATATTTTGCTACAGGTTTCAGCTGGCAATTAGTAAATTATCATGTCCCTTTTTTAACATAGTTAAAAACTTGTTTGAAAACATTGTACTTGGATTGAAGAATCAAAACAGTTTTATTGTCAAAAGAATAGTAATATAAATATAAATATTTAATACTAGATTTTGTACAAGAAAATGCAACTGCAACTAAAGGAACGATGTGAAGGGAAGAAATCTAGTGCCCTTTATGCTTTGTATTAAAATTGACAAGAATGTCCCCTTGTCCACTGCAGAATGTAAAAATGATCTGTCAAGTCTTTGCGACGATCGCGCCATCTTCTGGCCAACATTAGAAGCGTCAGTATCAGGGATGGGAATTTCGGCACGGTGCCAGGATCCGCACCATTTACCTCCACTCACAGACTAAGTCTGTTCTAAATAAATATATAAAGAAAGACGTCTCAAACAATATAAAACATAAAATAATCATGAATAATCACCACTGTAGACACTTGTCACACAGACAGTCTAAAACATTTTGCCATTGATTTTTTTCTTCCCACACCTTGTTGCATTATTTCTGTTCTAATCAAATTAAAAGTTTGACAAAGCTTTCAACTTAGCACTCAGGCATTTAGGTAAATGTTTTTAAACACTAATTGTAACATCAACATCAAAGCCAAAAAGGGAAATAAAAAAAAAATAATTATGACTTTGTATCTCATATCACCTCGAAACTCAAAACTGGACTTTATATTTTACAATTATGTATCTGAATGCCACAATTAGGATTTTAGATAATCATTATGACCTTAACTGTGACATTTCTGTCTCTCAAATGACTGAAAACCTCAATCATGGAACACGCAACCATTGTCAAATAAAAAATAATTAATAAAATGAAACTAGACTGGTGTCTGATCTCTTCGTTCAGTCCGCTAAATGAACCGGCACACTGAGCCGGATCAGTCGCACCGGACGCATTTCTACTCAATGTGACTACATTAACTCGTCACACATACGTGTCAGTGTCACTAATTCTGAAAGCTGCCAAGCCATTTTATGTGATAATCATAAAATCTAATTCGGGATAATTAGTTTTTAACATATTACTTAATAACAATTGAACCCGTATTTATCAACTCTTAATTCGTCCAAACAGATCATGGTTTCGAAAATTGTCTTCCTCTGTAGCGGCACACCGTGTTGTGAACTGATAGTGCGCGCGCGTGCTTGTGTGGTTTGTGCCAGTGAGCGCGCGCGCGTCTCTCTTCTGTGTGTGTGTTCCGTTATTTTCCGGGTTGTGCTCAGTCAGTCAGGCAGGGTCTGTGGTGGTTGTAGCGCTACAGCTGCCAGCTGACACTTCCACCGAGGAGGAGCTGAGGTCAAACTTGGCCGTCTCTGTTTCTCTGTCTGTGACCGAGGCGGCATCACCACCACCATCATCATCATGGCGGATCAAGGCGAATCTCTGGTTCCCGTCCACCATCCACAACCTACCATCAGCTGGCCAATTACCAGGGAGTCCTACGAGCTGCAGGAAGTCATAGGTTAGTATCCGGAGAAGCGGTGTTGTTGTGGTGGGCAGGGAGCCCGTGGTGGGTTATCTGTCGTGAGCGAAGGAGAGGGGCCTACCGGCTTTTTTTTTTTTTTTTTTTTTTTTAAATATATGCAGCAGCCTCCTCTGCTTTGCAATGCGGATGTTAACAGAGACTGTCGGAGTCTACCGGTCTACAGTAGATCTGCGCAGACGAGGCGGAATCAGTGTTTCTGCATGGGGGTGTAAATGTCACATTGAATAAGTCCTCTTTCAGCGCTCACGGATTTAGACGCTATCGCTCCAGCGACAAACTACAAGTTTATTAGTTATTGCTGAAATCACTGCTGCTGTGCCCTTCCTGAGCTGGCACGCGAGTGGAAATATAAAACAGATTGAAATCATCCCAAAATCAGTAATGTTCACGATGTACTTTTCAAAATGAACAACTTAATCAGAATTATCCAACATTAATAGGGACTTTCTTGCTCTTAATTCAAAAAAGAAAAAAAAAAAACATTTGAATTTACTCTGCAACTACCTTTTTTCTTATCGTCAGTCTTTTTAAGGAAACTCAAGTCATTTTTTGAAGAACAGAAAATCCCAAAATATACAATTTTATATGTGAACATTTACAAGTATTCAAAGCTATATGTGAACTGCAGTAAGTTTTTTTTTTTTTTTTTTTTTTAATCACTAGAATAATTGGTAAAAAGTACTACAGCTGCCGTCCCTCCCATACCCTGCAAAAAGTTCCAGTGCAAATGAAATGGCTCCTTCCATATTTTTATAGTTCAGGTCATTTTGTTCTCAGTGTTTCATTATATCTTGTGTTACAACTCTTTTGTTTATACATTCATCACAACAACCATTATTTGTGTGACAAGTCATCTGGTCTATTATGTCATTCCCAAAGCATGTCATAACATAATTATGCTGTTGAACTTGCTATTTAGATACGCACACAGTTCCCTTTCCCCACCACCAGCTCTTCACTGTTTGACAATCAGAATACATGTTTCATGTTTTAGGTCAATGACGATTACGCAGTGTATGCATACCTGCATTTATAATATTTTTTATTGACTTTTGCGGGAGATGAAAGGTAGAATTGTTTATACAGTATGACATGAGGAAAGCATTTTGGTTTCTGTTTACTTTTGCAACTAATTCAGCAATATGTTTACGTCATTGTCCATTTGAAAGACCCACATGTACCCAACCTTTAACTTTTTGTTCGGTTTCTTGGGACGTGCAAGGTTTCACGCTTCTCTGCCAGACGTCCGTGTATTTCCAATGATGTAAGACAAGGAAACAGTGTATTTGAAGTATTTCCTTAAAATAGATCCACAGGTGTGTGTACTTATAGTTAACTCAAATGCTGCCAGTGAACCGTAAGAAGTTTAGTTGACTTCTGAAAGGAACTGATTGCACCAAATTTATTTGGAGTATTGCATTAAAATGGGATGAGTTCATATTTCTGCTACACTGTTCAGATTTAATTTGCTAAGAAAATAAATTGAAAAATTTGTAATCCTGTACACATTCGGCACCACTTTTCATTGGTTTATTATGTGAAACCCAGATAAAATATGCAAAAGTCTGTGGTAATATTTGTTAAAATGTGGGGAGTTGTTTAAGAGTTACTTGTTCTCACAATCAGCAGTCCCATCTCACATGACATAAAGCATGCCTTATCCGCCAGTAACAGTTGGCAGAGTGCCGTACGTCCCAGCAACTTGATGTCGTCGTGTGATCTTGTTTGAAAAGAGTGGTGCACTGTGCTTGCATTTGCTCCAGTTGTCACAGATGAAACATGAAAGCTGTTACCTAAACACAAATGCCTCAGAGGGATGTTGAAATGTAAAGTCCTCCAGCTGTGCATGTGACGCTAGTCCCTCTTGGCTCATATCCCCCTGTGCTGATGCTGATGTGCGGTTGTGATTCCAGGCAGCGGGGCCACAGCTGTGGTGCAGGCGGCCCTCTGTACCCCCAGACAGGAGCGCGTGGCCATAAAGAGGATCAACCTGGAAAAATGCCAGACCAGCATGGATGAGCTGTTGGTGAGCACATTTAATATGGGCTATTTTCTCAGCCTTGTGCTTTTACACCACTCTCTAATGATATGCTGCTACATTACCTCTGATAGCTACACCTTTAAAGTTACACACATTTCTATGGTTATCTTGAATCCTTAGGGATAAAATGTTTTGTGTCGTGCAAATGTTCTTCGCCTACAGAAAGAAATTCAAGTCATGAGTCAGTGCAGCCACCCAAACATCGTCACCTACTACACTTCCTTTGTTGTGAAGGATGAACTTTGGTTGGTGATGAAGCTCCTGAGTGGAGGTGAGTTTAGTTTGATGTAAAGTTAATAGTAGTAGAGGCCATTAATATTTTTATCTCCTTTCTTTGATTTTCTCATATCAGTGATCGACACTGGTATTTCCTATATTACCACAGGCTCATCAGGCTCAGTTGTAAATTAATTCCAATGAGATCTACTGTAATGTATTGTACTGTTGTTGTTTTTTTTGTCTGTTTAATTTATATGTTTGAAAATCAGAGGAATATCTCTTCTTGTGCTTGATGTTATTTAGGCTCCATGCTGGATATAATTAAACATGCGAGCAAAGAAGAGGATAAAAATCTTCGAGCATTAGATGAGCCAATTATTGCCACAATATTAAAAGAAGTTCTAGAGGGCCTGGACTATCTCCACAGAAACGGACAGATTCACAGGTAACACTTTTAGTTTCTGTCTATTATTTCTAATAGGGAGATTTTTATTTTATTTTATTTTTTTAATGAAAAACTATCATTAAAACATATATTAGTGAAACAAGTACTTGTTTTGCGAGAGCACACACTCCTATGTGAAACCCTGAAATAATGACCGGGCTGAAGCGAATGAACAAGCTGCCAAAGTAAAATCCTAAAGTGAAATACAAAGTTCTTTGTGTTCTGTTCACGTCCTTGATTTCAAGGTCGGTGTGAATATGGGGCGTAAACCTCTATGAGCCCCTCGGGCACAGTTCTAGATAGTGATAGTCAGTGGGATCTGTTAACATGAATGGAAGAATCGATGTTGTCCCACGTGACTTTGATGTTTTACTCCATTATTGTTCTGCTGACCACAGGGATGTGAAAGCTGGGAACATCCTACTGGGAGAAGATGGATCTGTTCTGATTGCAGGTTTGTTACATTATCACACTCTCTTCTGCTTTTTTTTCTTCTTAAAGAACCAATGTTGTCCTAATTTACAGTTTACAGCATTACTTTTTGGGCTCTACTGTAACACACTGGCGTACATTAGCCTTGCAGGGACATATATTTTTTGGAATGTTCTTTTACATTTTGTATTTGCATAACGTTGACTGAATTCATGCAAATAGAAAAAAAAAAAAAACTGTCCAAAACCTGAGGCTGACTGATTGGAAGATTTGTTTGAACCATACAGAAACAAAGAAAGTTGGACGTATTTAAGATTGATGCGTTTTAATTATTGGTACTGTTTTAAGCAAAAATATTTTCAACGTGGATACATTTTTGAATGTGACCCTCTAACTTATATTAGCCCAAATAGTGGATACTAAATAACTAGCTAAAATCACAATATTTTGATAATAATATAATTATTGGATATACCTAAAGAGCATTTGACAGTGCTTGAAAAACTAGAAATTATTAAAAAAAAGAGTAATATTCTTTGTAGAAGTGTAATTATGTAGGAAGATGACATTTGGAAAACAAAATGTAAGCGCATAAAGGAAAAACAAATAAAATTCAGCATATCCTCTCGATGAGGTCAGTTCTAGGTTTAGCTTTAAATACAAACATCATGTGCTTTTTTTCACTATTTGGGGCGTCACATCCTGGACCTGTAACCATCAGTAATGTAGGATCGGTTTCAATATCTCAAGTGGAACATTTTTCACCCAGTTGAAGTGGAATTGCAGTGATTCATCCTGAAGGTGGAAAAAGTGAAAGCAGGTTTTTCAGCATTGCTTTGGAACAGGATGGTTCGGGTAATATTCCATACATGAAGGAACAATGCTCTCTGGACTTGGTTTGTGAAAAAACAATTCCAGGGTCTCTCAGTGTGACACTGAACACTAAACAAGTGTCACACAGAGCAAATTTGGATTGACAGTGAACAATAAACACCTAATTTACTCTGTGACAATCTAAAACAATCAAAAATTTGGGATTTTCTTTGTCTTGATGCAGTCCTCTTTTAACGGAAGATGTTTGAACTCAGACAAATTTTATAGAGATGAATATATAAGTCCATTGAGAATATTTAGGACTACTTCCTTTGCTAGAATGTACACCTTAACACTGTCAAAGTCCAGCAAACATGCAAAGTAAAGACATTTTTCTGAACAGTCTCACATTTTTATGATGGTAACCACCATGTTTATGTTTTGTTACTACAGATTTTGGTGTAAGCGCATTTTTAGCTGCGGGGGGCGACATGACGAGGCACAAAGTTCGAAAGACTTTTGTTGGAACGCCGTGCTGGATGGCTCCAGAGGTGATGGAGCAGGTAAGTCTTTTGTACTTTTCAATTATTCCTCTGTTTGCAGATACAGATTTATACAAGCATCATCCTTATTATAGCCATTTTCTAACTTGTTTAACATGCATTTAGAGATCTCAGAGACCATAAACCCACGCATTAAGTCAATGTTTAAGTTTTTCTGTGAAACAAAAGTAAATTAAATAAAAAAGTATTAGTTGTTACTGGAAATACAAATGTAAAAAGAATGTGAAAATCTAAATAATTAAATAACAGACGTAACGTGTCTGAGCAGCATAACTTTTCTTTTTATAAAATTAAAATGTTTTAGTTACATTTATTTTTATATAGAAATTATTACTGGTTCAGGATGACATGTTGATGTAGTTAAGAATCTTTTCCTGTCACAGAGTTTTTTTTTTTTTCCACTTTAAATAAATGTACTAAAATTAAATCAAACATTTCTTAGAACCTTTTAGTGTAAGATTATGCAACAACATTCACTTAAAGCCATTTTACATAATTTTACTTGGGACTCCAGTAAATATAGAGAACATTTTATGCTCCAGATGTTTTCATTGTTTTCTATATTAGTTATGCTTATCACTAATCATAAATCCTCTGAGCCTTGCATAAGTAAGTCTTATTGTCTTTTATAACCCCATGTCTGCAGGTTCGAGGCTATGATTTCAAAGCAGATATATGGAGTTTTGGAATTACAGCGATAGAGTTAGCAACAGGTTCTGCACCCTATCACCGATACCCTCCAATGAAGGTAAGTGTTATGGACCAAAAATAAAATGTATTAAATTATTTGTATGGAGTCAATTAGATACAAATGCCATAACAAGGAACTTTGCAAGACTAATTTAGGTCCAACCAGTCAGATAACACCCGGTCTAATGCTCAAATTTATATTCAGTAACATATAATACAAGTCAATCCTGATTGTCTTGAGAAAACTCAGGCAATTGAATAAGTCATTGACATTGCAACAATCTATTTTCCTTCTTCAAATCCAAACATCTAAAAAGACCCAATTTTCTTATTTTAAAAGCACTATCCTTTTGATAGTGCTGCTTGGATGTCTGGGTGTTTTTTGACCGTTTTTCCTTGTGCTTTCAGGTTTTAATGCTTACCCTACAGAATGATCCGCCCACTCTGGAGATGGGTGTTGAGGACAAGGAAATGCTCAAAAAATATGGAAAATCATTTCGAAAGCTTATAACTACGTGCCTTCAGAAAGACCCTGCAAAAAGGTTGGTACCACAACATATGAACGAGCAGAAATGAAGCAGTTTGTACTAAATAACAAGAACTTGATTTTATTTAACTTTTAGACAGTGATCCAGTTTTGGACATGCATAATCATGACTCTTGTTTTTCCCCTTTGAAGTGAATCAATCAGATTTCCTAAGTTTTTGCTTGATTTGTGTGTTTTTTTACTGTAGCATTTGTTTCCCATGTCTAGGAGAACTTTTTCTCCATATGTTTGATTAATTGAGCTTGACTCTTTCTTGTTATATTTTTCCAATGGCATTTTCTCTTTGTTTTGTCTGTAGGCCTACAGCAGCTGAGCTTTTGAAGTGTAAATTCATACAAAAGGCAAAGGTATTTCTTTAATCTCAAATATTTGCTGCACTATCTTTGTTTGGTTTTATTAACATTTGATGGGTTGAAGCCATATTAGATTCTATTGGTTATTTTCATACATACAACACTCAGACATTGAGGTGTAGTCGACTTTTCATGTAAAACAGACAATTTTTAGTTGACTTTACATTCAATCATGTCACTGATTTTGTTTTGGTAAATAATAATAAAAAAGGGGAGTTAAGACAGGTGCATCTCAACAAAAGTAGAAAATCATCAGAATTTAATTCAGTTCCAAAACTGATTTTTTTTTTTTTTGTATTTTAATAAATCATTTGTAATATTTTTTGATGATTACAGCATACCGGAAATGAAAGCCCCAAATTCTGTATCTCAGAAAATCCCAAGATTGAAAATTCAAATATTACTCTGTGAGTAATAAATCTGTTTAATAATATAAGAGTTTCAGTTTTTTGTATTGAACTAACAAAATAAGTGCACTTTGAGTAGATTCTCCTGTTTTTAAATTACTATCTTATGTCTCTAACTAAGCATTTTTTTTTTATATTCAACATTTGTATGCAAACTAAACTTGTGCAAAACCAATAGATAAGAAACGTGATTTTAAGGATGCTTGCCACCACGAAAAGGCCTGCCTCAACGTTGTTGTTAAGTTGCATTTAAATGTTTTAAACTGTGAGCTACATCCCATCCCATCTTTGAAGTCATGTGGCCAGCTCTGTTCCACAAAAGCTGATTAACATCAGAACTGTAGATAATTTGCAGAGTTTGCGGCATGATGGAGCAGTGATTATCAGCATTATCTCACAGATAGGATCTCGGCAGGGTCTTTCTTCTCTTTTTGCTGCAGGCGTTTGGGTATGTTTCAGATCTACAGCATGAAAAACATGTTGCAAGTCATTGCCAAATAGTTTCCTCTTTGACACCTACGGTACTTTTCAGATTGACTGAATCAGGATTTTAAAAATATGCTTTCAAAGTATTTGTCTTCATGTCTTACTGATTTACTTGTCATGCATACTTTTTTTATGCCTCCTCCAATGTTTGCAAGTATGGGAAGGACCCTGTTTAAATGTGTGGTTTGCATGGCATTGTCCAACTTTGATGATTTAAATTTTTCCTTACTTTGTTCATTTTCCCCTGCAGAACAGAGAATATCTTGTTGAAAAGCTTTTGAGTCGTGCACCAAAGATATCTCAGAGAGCAAAGAAGGTATGTTTATGTGATATTTTGCCCTCTTCAATAACACAGTTATTGGTTAAACATTAAAAAAACAAAAAAACTTGTGGATGGATGGACTGCTTTCAATCCAGGATGTTGAATTTACAGTCAACACAACATATGGACTCTGTCTTCCTTTAGCACCTCCAACAACTTTTACCCCTATGCATAGACTACATAAAAATGTGGGCCACAGTCGCATAAGAGTCATGCTGTGCAGATCCACTGACCCATGTGTTAGTATGACTTTAAGAGCAGCTTCCTGCGTATGTCAAGACAAACCTGGATAAATGGATTGTTAACATAAGTTAGTAAAACTGTTATGGCCAACAGGGAGGAAGTGCCGTTTTTCAGGCACAGCTGATGTTAGCTTTACATAATACTCCCCTGATGGCCAGGTCTGAGGCAGGATCAGAGGGAAGGGCGGCTGAGTGGAGGGGTGGAAATTCACTGACATGGTTCAGTCTAAATAGAGGGCATAGTAGACAGGACAACCATTAATGTTCATGACGTTATAATTACGCACAAACGGGGTAGGGTGGCATTACGTTGTTGATGGTTTATGTGTGAACTACAGACAGGCTTTCAGTGCCAGTAACAGAGGGAAAGGGTACAGGCTGCTCTGTTATTCAGGAGTTCTATAACAAACCCGGACAACATGCTTTACAGATTTGCTGTCATGCAGTTGTGTAAAATCAGAAGTAAAACGAGCTTCAGAATTGTGAATTTGGAGAGTATTACTGTACTATAACATTATAGCAAAAATACCTTTTTAGAATGGATAATTGTGAAAACTGAAAACTTATTTTAGCAAGTCCCTTAATGTCTACATTACTTTTCAGATGTCTTAAAGGAATAGTGCTGATATTTTGGACTGAGGCTCTATTAAAAGGGATTGGAATATTATGGTAGACTGACTGTTTTTTTTTTGTTTTGTTTTTTTTAGCTTTATATCATGCTATATGTGATTCCCTCATCAAAAACATAGCTGGATTTTTACTTTAATTCTTTCATTCATGTTTGAGAAATCCTTAAATTTCCTGTGGCAGTCATTTTGCTGTGCCTAAGCACTTGCTCTTTCAAAGCACCGCCTATTCCACAAGGCCCCTCCTTGTAAATGAAGAAGCATTGTTGTGATGACATGCTGAAAGAGTAGGAGCTTCTTAAAGGGACAGAGGCCAATTTCTAGATGTCAGACACAACTACGATATAAAGTCAGACTTCTTTTAA